AAGTGAGTTTTATTAGTAACTTCACGTGAATATTGCTTTGAACTATACTTCTAGGTAGGTAGCTGAGAATTTGGTCTTAAATTGATGGCTGTTTCTTTAATTTTTTTTTTTTTTTTAGTCATGCTGTCCTGCTTTATTACTTCTGTTGTAATTTGACTGGCATTATTATACTGGGGAATAAACAATAATCAGTTAGTTGAAGTGGTTGGTAATCACGATAAAGTTAAAAAAACTAAACATGCAGGTGATCTTAGAAAATAAAGCTCTAAGCTTAATTTAAGAATATAGTATTAGAGCACTTAAACTGAATCAAATATTGAATCTTTTCACTGAAGAGGAATCTGTTCATAGGTGCTGCTGATCTGTGTACTGATGGTTCCTGTGGTTGTATCATGAGCTGTTTGGTGAAAACTCTGATTCAGTTTTGAGTTTTTGCTGCTGATATGCTTCCTTTAATAGGAAAGTTGAATTGCTCAGTTATTAATGTGAATATGCTAATATTTGTGTTTATGTGAATAAACATAAATGGTAATGCCTAATTTATTTTTAAGTGTAGTCCAACAAAATTATAAAGATATTGCTTGCATTTTCTTGTTTTGTGCCAATCCTTTTCTAGGATTTAGCTTAAGGACATGATTTTCTGAATTTAAAGTAATTTTTTCCCCCTGGAATAAATGCAAGAGATCTGATAAGAATGTCAGCTGCGTAATAAAGTTACATGATAATGTTTCTGAGAAACAGTAGTTACTGGCTATAAGAAGCCTGGCTGTATGCAAAAATGTATATTGGTTTTGTATTGTGACATCACACAGATTTCAGAGATTGTGGGTGTTGTGAGGAATACAATAGCTGTAATTGTGAAAGGAAGCTTGGTAAGACAATTCACTGAACAAAGTGAATGTTAGATAAATGGATATTTGATTTAATAATGATTACAATAAAATGCATCTGTAATTCTGTTTTAGTAATGTAAATAACTAAAGATTTTTCCTTTGAAATAGATCTAATTATTTTGTTACTGTTTCTTCTTTTTGCAAACATATTCTTATATTTGTAAGTAAGAGATACATTCTAAGTGTTGTGGTGACATAGTGTCTCATTTTGCGTTTAGAGTTTTATAGTTCATGGCTGATCGTGATTTCAGTAGCATTGAGGTGATATGTTTCCAAAGACTGTGTGACCTTCTGTGTATGCTGGTTTGGCTCCAGTCGGAATGCACTGAGCTTTATAATTGCTTCCTTTGAGAGGATTCAGATTCCATAGACTAACTAGGGAATATTTTTGTTTGTGGCAGTTTGTTAATTTGTATCCTTGAGAAGAGTACCAGTATGCATGTGCTGTGAACGACAACTGTTACTGCAAATCTTCCAACTAGTTTAAAGTATTTGGCTTGTGTCCAATGAATTGCCACATAGGAAAATTAAGACTGCAAATAAAAGGGTGTGGTGTAAGAAGCTGAATACACGACACCATGATCTGCAAGAGAAGTCTTGCGTATTTTATTGGCATTTATATGTCTGATTGAACAGATTCTAAGCAATAGGATGTAATGCAGATACCATCAGTCTGTTTCTTGACTGGTTTAGAGAAAGCTCTGAAAGGAAATGGTAAAAGAAACTGAAGAACACCGGAAAGCTACTTACTACCTTAATAGCTTTACAAATTTAGATTGTATTGTATAGAGATGTTTTGCCAAGATACAGCTTAAAATTAAGTCAGTAATGGATGAGGTTAAATGCAAGTGGTATTGCCATTGACCTGAGAGTTACATATTCCTTTGGCTGTCTCTGCTGCCTGTTTATCAAGTTAATTTTTTTTTCCTGAATGAGGACACACACATAAAATAATTGAAGCTATGATGGGATATCTGTGTCAAAGCAAATAAATGGAATTGTTTTCCTTAAGATATAAATGTGTTTTTGCTAGTCATATATATGGCTACATGCAGTAGCAACACATTGCTACATCCACTGCTACATAAACAACATGCGCTCTCAAGCTTAAATCAGGTTTCATGATGAAGTTCTTGAAAAAGATAGCCAAGATGGATAATGTCCCAAAGTAGAAATAGCTTACTATTTTCTTTGTTCTAAAGAGGTTTGGCAGATACAGTTTGATCTACTAGTCATGTTTTGTTTATTCTAATATTTTATCCTTTCATCATTGTAGATGAAGTCAGATCTGTCAGCTTTAAAAGCTCTCGGGACTTCATATACATAAACATGGTGAACTAAAGTATTTGAGTGAAAAGTAAAGAGTATAATCCATATATTCACATAACTGTTTTAGGGGGCTCTTGCCTCCCTGCCCTCCCCACCCCACCTTCTCAGTGGATAGTCAAGTACTTTTGGAGTGTTTGGACTTGATTTTGGAGACCAGAGGTGTACATCAGTAATGTTTTAGGTGGCTAATGAAAGTTAACTTGTATAGAAGAAACTGGAATCCAAGTGATGTTCAAAATAGTTAATTTCCAAGTCAAGACTTCTCTGACATTTATCAAGAGTCAAATAGGATTAAAATCATACCGGCTTAACTTGGGTTTATGATTTTATGACAGGGAAGTCACCTAAGTATTGTGGATTGTTTAGTCAATTGAGCCCATTCAAATGAAAGTGTTTTACTTGTCAACAAGTATAAATATCTGGGGATAGGGAAATATGACTCGTACCCAAAAAAAAGGATTCTAGTTTCAGAGTTCTAAACCTAGAAAGGAAAGTGTTTAATTGTTAAAGTAACTCAGTGGAAGTATGTGAATCTACTTTTTTGGCCACAAATAATTTTCCTTTTTTATGGAAGAAGAGGAAGTTATATATAACTTTTAGTGACATTTGTGTGACAAGCACTGTATTCTGCTTATAACTGGGGAGGGGTACTACTTTTTAAAAAGGATTTTTAAGAATTGGGAGAAGATCTGTCAAGGTACTAGAAAGGATTGAATGGTAATCAAATTAATTGTTAATTAAGAAACTGAAGACCAGTGGCTTCTTCAAATTCACAGCGAGACAACTGGGATGCATCTTAAACGCTCAGCGTATTTTCTTCTTTTGTTCTACAGTGGTTTGATCTGGAGTAATTCAAAATGGAAATAAAATACATCTTCTTAATTGGTAATAAGTAGTGAAATATCTTGTCAAAATAGGGGTTTCTTAAGTTTCTAAAAATCAGAGTTTCTTTTTTTTTAACTTAAAGCAATATCTCTTAAAGGTTTATATAATAGAGCTTACATTATCTCTATAGTGGGAGAAAAAGCCTCCTATATGATTTTATTAGTTTAGTTTAGTTTTTATTAGTTTTTATTAGCATGTTACGTTCTGACTTCTGGAGATTTACAGACACGGAGAAAGAATATAAGTAGCAGAATGATACCCGCTTATTGCTTTTAAGCAAAAGTACTAAGAGTACTTTGATTAAGAACCAAAGCCCCTAACTTCTAGTACTTTGAACTGTTAATATCAAATTATTTTATCGACATGGATAATTTTAGACAGGGTGCTCCATATGCACTGCAGAAGTTAGTAAATGTTAATCATTGTTTTGGGATGTTTTGGTATTCTCATCTAATCAGAGGATCAAGTGTTTTAGATATGTCTGGTAATTCAGGATGATATTTTTAAATTGAAGAACACCATCTCATACCTTATTCTGATACAGGATGTAATATGGTCTGTGCTTCTTCATTAGTAGCAATAAGCTGCTCTTGTGAAGTCTTTCTGAAGTGGTTACAATTATGCATTTTAAGTACATTAGTATAGAGAAGGATGTGATGATACATATTGAAAACCAAATTGTAGCTTGAGTCTTCTGTTAACTGAACAGTTAAGCTGGATTTTTAGGGGTTCTTCTTTAAATATTCTGACTTGTAGGAAAAGAGATTAGTGAAAACTTTCTTAAAAACAGTGCTTTGATCTGATGTTAATTTTGCTAAAACAGTATTTTTTTATAAATTTTTTTTTACCCAATGCTGCAGTAAATACAGTTACAAATTTGTGCCCTTAGTGTAAGTGTCTCTATAGTAAGGTATGAAAAATTGAAGGCTTTATGTACTTCAGAAAACACTCAGAATTAGAGTTACATTTGGCCTACAGAGAATGAAGGTGAAATCCAGTGTTTCATTAAAGTGTTCTGAAAACAGGTTTGGTGCTTCTGTATAGTGCAGTATTGAAACACTGGACACTGTAGAAAAGGCTCACATGAAAAGAATACATTTTTTTCAGAGTATTAAATATTTGGAATAAATGAAAGAGAAGATGTGTACTAAAGAACAAAAAACCAAAGATCTGGAATAACTAGCTTCCCTAAGTAAACAAAATTTATTCTGCTGAATGAGGATGTTGTCCTGTGCATGTGAAAAAGTGCAAGATGAGTAGAAGGAATTATATCAAGTTATTTTTAATTAAATAGATATACAATACATATTTTATGGAAAGGAAGTAAAATTGGATCATAAAGCTTTATTTATATTTTCAAATTTCTGGATAGTCTGTCTCTCTAAGGCAGGTGTTCATTTAACACTATAAAGTCCAGACTTATGTATCATTGCACTCTTGGGTTTGTTAATCTTTTTGATTTTTTAAAAATTATTTCTCTAGATAATAAGGTGGTTTATTCCTAAAGGTAGGAATAGCCTTAATTTAAAAAGTTTAAGTGCATTTTTTTGTACAAGAGCTTATTTAAGCCTTTCTTCACAGCATTTCAAAACCCTGTTTTAATTTATGGTTACAAAACTTAATCGAGAGTTTATAATTTCAATTTTTTATAAAAGTCTTGCTATCTTTCACAAGTCAAATATGTAATAGTACCATTTTCATTAAAATTTTTGTGACTGTCTTCAATATTCCTGTTGTGTCTTTTACCTGTAGTTTCTATGAGGTTTATTTTTGTTTTTATGTGAAAAATGTATTTTTAACTTACGATCAACTTGAAATTGGGTAGGAATTGTATTGCTATGTACCTTAATCTTATTTAACCCCTTATCATTACTTTGTATTTTCATTTTGCAGATGGAATACCTCAGGTTTATTATTTTGGCCCATGTGGCAAATATAATGCTATGGTGCTAGAACTACTTGGACCTAGTCTGGAAGATTTATTTGACTTGTGTGGTAGGACATTTTCTCTTAAAACCGTTCTTATGATAGCCATACAGTTGGTAAGTAGAATAGATGTTAATTTGAGTGTTCACTAGAATAAGTCTTCAGTTGATTAAATGATTACTTCACTTAGGAGATTTGCACTTTTCATGTTTTAAATTGGTGTTAGTGATATTTAAAATGCTTGTGATTCAGTTTAAGCAGGAATACTCTTACATTGCTTTCATTTACTTTGTTCCAGTTTTTCAAGTCAGTTCATGTATGTAATTGCTTGTGTCTTTTCAGTTCTCATCACAATTTAAAATCATGAATTTTAGTTTGACGTACTCTTTCAAAAAAGAAAACCTTAAAGAAATGAAAGTAATTTTAGCCCACACAAGCAGTTGTATTATGAGACTCCTAAATAGCATAAGTATTTTTTTCCTAGGCATTCTTACAAGAAGGCAAACAAACAAATGAAAAAATTCCCCAAATCTTTCCAGAAATTATAGCACAAAATTACTCAACAGAGAATTACTCTCTTTTTTGAAGATTTCCTTATTTGGTTCTAATTTGAGGGTGGGTGGAAGTGGAAAGGATGCTTAAGGCTGTGCTTGTTTACCAGATTTCCAATTCCCGAAGTAATGATATTTTTACCTATAATGGTTAAAAATAGCTGCTTAAAACATGATTATAATTGTGTAACAGGCCTCCAACTGCAGACATACAGACACATTGAACTTATTTACAGCCAAATGGCCAAGTTCTTTTTTTTAAATGCTCAAGTCCTCACAAATTCAAAGATCAGCTTTATTTACTACTTCCTGTTCTCTTCTGAATGTGGAAATTTTTATGGAGAGCAGTCCAGATAGAATGGACTTTATATGCGTAGTGATGAACTTTCAGTGCTCCTCTCATTTATATCTTTAACATGTACTAGATCTACATCAAACTTTGCTGCTTACTTCTTGGTGACATAATTTCTGGTTTTACTTTTAATGTGCAGAAAACATACGAGCTCTTTTGAGATACAGAAACGTCTTTTGTTTGTAAGATTCATGACTAATGTCCAGTGTGAAAGTTTCCAATAAACCAGTTGGTGTATCTGCTTTGGAAGAAGTGTGCAATTTTCATTGACTTTAACTGGGAGATACTTCCTTAAGAACAATATTGCTTTGGTCTTAAGATATTAAGAGGGGTGGTTTCTTCTGTGTATAAAGCCAATATAAGATATTTAGATTCTAACACATTTTAATGTGGCAACCTGAAACTTAAGCTAAACTTCCTTGTCTGTTTCTTTTATTGAAGATTTCTCGTATGGAATATGTCCATTCAAAGAACTTGATATACAGAGATGTAAAACCTGAGAACTTCTTAATAGGACGACCTGGAAACAAAACCCAGCAAATTATTCACATTATAGACTTTGGTTTAGCAAAGGAGTATGTAGATCCAGAAACAAAGAAGCACATACCATATCGAGAACACAAGAGCCTTACAGGAACAGCTAGATACATGAGTATAAATACACATTTAGGAAAAGGTACGTGTGCTTTTTAGGTACAGAAACAGTTGTGATTTGTCATAAACCATCTTGCTTTCAAGTTACAGTTTTTCTCAGTCTATAGTATTTAAGAACTGCAAATTTTGTGTATTGTGCAGAATATAATTTGGCCCTATGGAAATACTGTTTATGGGCATAATTTTTTTTTAATCTCATCATCTTGATCATGTTTTGGGAATTCTCCTCTTTGTTAGCTTTCCTTATAAGAAAGATGAGGTGTATCTTTTTGTAGCATAATACATTCATATTATAAGTATACCATGGCAGGGTGAAGTGCCCGGGAAATAGATATGCTTATTAAATACACAGAAATCAATAGGTTGCAGTAGCCTGGATTTTCAATGCTTCCTTGCTTTTCTGATCTCTTTGAAATGCACCTTTTTTTTTTTTTTCGGTGCTTACACTGTTAATAAGGCTTTGTCAGAGTCATTAAAGGCTATGCCAGCAAGCTAAAGAAATTACAGGATGTATATAAATATAAAAGTTGTTATTATTGAATGAATAAATTCACCTTGAGAAAGGTATGAGCACTCAGATCTTTGTTTATTACAGCTACAGAGAGGTTTTCTAGTGAAAACAGTTACACCCCTTTGAATTTGTGTGAGCCAGTTGCTAATCACTGCATGGTAATCACTAATTAGGTTATTCTTTGAATTGATTATAGAAACATTGCACAATTACTGTAAGCATAACCGTTAATATGAGCAAATGAGAAGCCATTCACACTTCTCAGGCAGGAATAAAGTACTATATCGATAAAGCAAAGCTATGGAATCACTTTGGTTGGAAAATATCCTTAAAGTCATCGAGTCCAACTGTTAACCCACCACTGCCAAATCCCCCACTAAACCATGCCCCTAAGGGCCACATCTACAAGGCTTTTAAGATACCTCTGGAAATGGTGACTCAATCACTTCCCTGGGCAGCCTTTTCCAGTGTTTGCGAACCCTTTTGGAGAAGCAAATGTTTCTAGTATCCAGTGTAAACTTTCCTGTGGCACAACATTAGGCTTTTTCCTGTTGTGCTGTTCCTTGGTCCTTGGGATTAGAGGCCAGCCCTCACCTGGCTACACCCTCTTTTCAGAGAGTTGTAGAGAGTGATAAACTCTCCCCTGAACCTCCTTTTCTGAACACCCTCAGCTCCGTCAGCTGCTCCTCATAGGATTTGTGCTCCAAATCCTTCACCAGCCTTGTTGCTCTTTAGTGGGCATACTCCAGCACCACAAGTGTAGGGTTTGAGCTTTCTAAATCTGACTTTTGGAACTCAGGTTCTTCCTGAGAAGAAAAAAAAAGAAGCATCCGCTATATTTTTGAGGTATAAATGGTGATGTCCGCTTAATGTGACTGTTACATGTTTGACACTGGGCTCTCATCTCCACTAGCAGGATAGACTTCTGATTATTAAAACATTTTCAACAGTGGCACAACCACTTTATTTTAAAATAAAATTTTTTACTCCTCCTTAAATAAGAAGATTGCCTCCAAACCTTTTAAGAAAAACAAACCAAAATGCAAAACTGGTAATTACTTGAAAAGCAAACTGAATTTTGATTACGTGTCTGATATTTACACAGGATGTGTTTATTTTTGTCTAATGGTAACTTGTTTAATCATAGAATGGTTTGGGTTGGAAAGGATCTTAAAGATTATCAGTTCTGACCCTGTTGCCATAGGGTGGAACACCAGGTTTCTCAAAGCCTCATGCAAATTTGCCTTGGACAGTTCCAGGGATGAGACATCCACAGCTTCTCTGGGCAAGGTGTTTCAGTGTCTTGCCACTCTCACACTGAAGAATTCACCTGAATATTTAATCTAAACTTACTGTTAATCAGTATGAAACCACTAACTCTTGTCCTGTCACTACGTGTCCTTGTAAAAGTCCCTGCATAGCTTTCTAGCAGGCTCCCTTTGGGTACTGGAAGGTGCTGTAATGTCTCCCTGAAGCCTTTCATCTCCAGCCTGAACAGCAGCAACTCTCAGACTGCCTTCCTGAATGTCTTCGTGAACTTGCTTGATCAGGTCCATGTCCTTTGTATCTTTGGGACCTCAGAGCTGGATGCTGCACTGCAGGTGGGGTCTCACCAGAGCAGAGGTGTAGAATCCCCTCCCTCGCTCTACTGGCCACACTGTTGGGGATGCAGCCCAGGACATGTTTGGCTTTCTGGGATGTGAGTGCACATTGTGGGGTCATGTCCCACCTCTCATCCACCAGCACGTGAAAATCCTTCTGAGGGCTATTCTGCATTCTCTGCCCCACCTGTATTTTTGCTTGGATTGCCCTAGCTTTGGTGCAGGTCATTGCACTTTTTGTTGTCATGCTCACACAGGCCCATCTCCCAATCCTGTCCAGGTCCCCCTGTGACATCCCTTCCCTCAAGCATGCTGACAGCACCACACAGCCAGGTGTCATTAGTGAGGGTGCTCTTGATCCCACTGTCCATGACACCAGCAAAGGTGTCACCCAGCAGTGTTCCCAGTACGACCCCTAAGGAACTAGTGTCCACTTTGACAGGGAGTTCTTGAACATGATTTACAGTGTGACCACTCAGCCAGTTCCTTATCCACTTGTTTCATCTGTCAAATCAGCATCTCTCCAGTTCAGAGACAAGGATATCCTGTGTTACAGTGTCAAATGCTTAGCACATATCTAGCTAGATTATGTTGGTTGCTCTGTGCACCTTCAGGTTCCTTAGATGGGCTCCTGATCTACAGTGTTCTTCATTCTGCCAGTCCCTGCCCTTGTTTTCCTGTGACATGAGTGATGTGACTGGAATACATACCAGGGAAGATGGAGGCAAAAAAGTAATTTAATGTTCCCAATATCTAATCTAAACTTTCAGTGGCACAACATGTGTAATTTTTTGCCTCAGCTTTCTCTCTATCCCAGGCCTCCTGTTTCCTTCTGGAGAGGTCATGCATTTTTCATAATTTTCCTTGTGTCATCATCTTACGTACAGAAGCTCTTCTTGTTGCCCTTGACATCCATGGCCACATTTAATCCTATCAGGTCTTTAGCTTTCTTAAGCTGATTTCTGGCTGTTGGACAATTTCTCTGTATACTTGCCAGACTACCTGTCCTTGCTTCCCCTCTCAATATGCTGCCTCTTTTTTTTTTTATTTTTTTGGATTCATCCAGGAGCTCCCTGTTCATCCATGCAGGCCTCCTGCTGTTTTGTGCTTGACTTTGTTGGAAGGCATTGCTCCTGGGCTTGGAGGAATTAATGCTTAAATATTAACCAGCTTTCTTAGGACCCTGCTACCCTGCAGAGCTTTATCTCATGGAACTCTGCCAAGCAGATCCCTGAAGAGGCCAAGCTGCATCTGCTGAAATTCAGGGTACTGGGTTTGCTTTGCTCCCTCCTCACTATCTTTAGGATCTCAAACTCCAGCATTTCATGATCACTGCAGCCAAGGCTTCCCCTGAGCTTCTCATTTCCCACCACCCTCTCCTTGTTGGTGAGAATAAGTTCCAGCATGGCACATCTCCTTTTTACCTTCTTTGTCACTTGGAGAGGGAAGCTAGATAACTTACTGGATTACAGATGCCTTGCTGTCTTGTCATTCCAGGAGATATCAGAGTGGTTGAGGTTCCCCTGTGAGGACCAGGGCTTGTGAACATGAGGTGGTTCCTGTATATTGTTATGAATGAGTGTTTGAGGTCACTTAAAAAATCATCAGCAAGGGTATCAGTAAAAGCCTGATTTCATATTAAGCAACAACAAAGTTCTTTGCAAGATTCACTCTACCACTTACTAGTCAGTTACACCAAGGAAAAAGAGAAAACCCAAACCCCTATTAAAATCCAGTCAAAACTGAAATTAACTGAGAACTGTCTAGGGCTGTGTGTGTGTTTAGGTGCATGTGACAAGTGATAAAAGGACAGTGAGGGCAAGTATAAAAAAGAATACAGCCTAAAAGCTTAACAGCACTCAGAAGTATTTAACCTTAACTTACACCTTTACTTAAACCTTAAACATAACAATTCAATGTAGGAATTAACAATTAACAGCATTTAACCTATCTGATAACTTAACCTTATTTAACAAGCTTAACTTTGATATCCAATATACTTGAACATCTAAGAGAGCAGCATTTCTCCCAAAATTTACTGTAGCATATGTGTATGTTTATGCACACAGGCAGAATCAGTGTAAAGTACCTATGAAAAAATTCCCCTCAAAGGCAGTGAAATACTTACTCTGGGTGCTTTTGCATTTCTTCATTGTGCAGAGTTGAGCCATGAGGAGAGGGATATTGGCCTATAATTCATTTTTGTCCAGCAATCGTCTGAGTACAGCAAACTTGAGAGTTTGTGGGCTTTGAGAGGCCCAGCTCAGAGAGAGATGTTGCTGGTCACAGCTGCTGCAGTCCAGAAGAACTCAAAGGTTCTCATTTTAGACCAGTTTTATAGGGTCACAAGAGAGTGGGCTTTAGTCATAATAATCTTTCATCCTGGCCACTGTGTGGGTTGGCACACAGTTGAAAGTGTGAGAACAGGGATGTTATGCTACACAAGCAAGAAAAATAGTTAGGTTGTTCATAAAGAAAACATGAGTTTGTTAGACAGCAGGGACTCCTGGGAGCAAAGGGTTTCTGATAAACTCAAGAAAAGTTGAGCCCAGGTGCTGAGATGTAATGAGCTTTTTTTCAGTTAACAGTGTGGCCTAGAAGGGGTGAGGGAGGGATGTACCACCATGGGAACTCAGTTGCTCAGTCTTGCTGGCTGGAGGGCTGTGGCTACCTAACCCTGCACTCCCCATTAATCATTCCCCAGTAGCTCTAGGTCAGCTCCTCATCCATCCCCGAAATGGGGGCAAATGGGGATTAAGCTCCATACACGCAGCTGGCTATTGCTGTGGAGGATGCCATTAGCTCCTGGTCTCCCTTGCCTCTCCTTCCTAAAGAGCCTGAATCATTCTATTCCAACAATTTTTTTATGTTCTGTGATACGTAGTATATTTTTGCACATACATATATTTTTTTTTTGCACATATATATATATTAACATGCAGTGAGACATACAGAGCAGTGAAGGTCCTCAAGCTCTGTGTTTACAGAGACAGTGGCATACAGGATACAGTTTACTCTGAAAATAGTGTTAATAAGACAATTTTTTAGGGTGGTATTTTTAGTCTGTAGATAATTTTCTCAGCTGCTTGAATGGTCTAATGTAGCCATGATATTATGAAAAATCCTTTGCTGGGATTTTTCCTCTCCTGAGAAGCTGAGGAGCCTCAGGAGAGAAAGGTAAACAATTACTATCTGCTGCTGTGGAATGCAGCAGTTGCATCTGTGATTGGTCCATGTGGATTGTTTTCCATTGATGACCAATCACAGTCACCTGTGCCAAGGCTGTGGAGAAGCTGAGGAGCCTCAGGAGAGAAAGGTAAACAATTACTATCTGCTGCTGTGGAATGCAGCAGTTGCATCTGTGATTGGTCCATGTGGATTGTTTTCCATTGATGACCAATCACAGCCACCTGTGCCAAGGCCGTGAGCAGTCACAGGATTTTGTTATTCTATTCTGTTCTTTCTGTTCTTGTTGTAGCCTTCTGATCTCTCTGTTCTTTTAGTATAGTTTTAACGTAGCATTTTAATATAATATTTAACATAATAAATCAGCCTTCTGAAATGGAGTCAAGCCTCGTGTCTCCACACACGGAGAGTTTGCCGCAGCAGTCTGACAGCTGACCCTTGTAAAAAAATAAGTGTTTTCAGTGAAGAGGGAGGCTGTCAGGTTCGCATTCTCTTAAAAGTTATTTTTTAATATGTCTCTATTGACGTTTAACTTTATCTGTTAGTGTGTATGAGTAAGGAAGGATGTTGTCCTTGAATAAAAAGTGTATTTTAGGATCCATAGTATTTAAAGCTATCATAACAAATGCATAGCTACTAGAAAGACTTTAAATGTGTAATCAAAACTTGCTCAAAATCACCAAAGCCCCTCTCATCAGGTGTAGGAAATATAAAATACATACTTACTGAACATCCTGTAGTCAGTAATCTTTTAGTTCAGAAGAGACATTTGATCAACTATTTCTGGTAATTTTGTGCCAAGTTGGGAGTTTGTATATGGAATAGAAGGTATTTTGTTTATGTGGAGAATAACATGACTTTATTCAGAGAGCTATTTGAAGGAAATACAAATACTCTGCAGCCCTTACTAGCATGTTGCTGGTACCCTACCTTTCAATAAGATAATTTCTTTTAGGGATAAAGTTACTCTGCTTCTTCTCCAGTTCATTTCATTTTCAGGAAGGGAAAGTGAGATTACAGAAAGTGTAGATTCTGACTGGGAGGTTAATGAAGAGAAAGATCTGCATATTTTGGGATTTCCCTAAATTCAGAAGAATAGTGTGTTAAAATGTTGTCAAAGTTATATGGCTACAGAAAGCATAGTCATATGGAATCATTACTTACTCTTATTTAGCAATCTGTAATGCTCTCTGGGGAACTACCCATATCCTTGATTGTATTGGTCTTTTGATGATAGTGCTTAATTATTGCAGAGGCAAAGGTTAGTAACTGTACAATGAATACTTGAAACTCTTCGGGAATGAAGCAAGTCTGCTCTTAATATGAATAGAAAGGCCAAATGAAAGCAATTTCTTTAAACATGTACTTATCCTCAAACAAAATTAGGAAAACCTCATTCTTACCTTTAGTACATGTGCTCTCTTATCAGAGCCAAACTTGTGCTCTCTTTGCAGGAGCCAAACTTGTTTGTGTTCTAAACCATCTACAAATAATTCTACATTGGATCAATTTTAATTAACTTCCTACTGCAAGAACAATGAACATTTGGTCCTAACATTTTATTAAATCCTAAAATTTACTAAATCTTGAAGTTTTTCCAGTAGCTCAAAAAAACATCCCTTCTGCATTTTTGAGAATGATTTCTTTCAGCATGATAATTTCTTTAAAGTGCTGTTGAGATGAATATACCTGCAGTCTGCATCTGCTTTTTTTCTGGGTTTAGCTGTGTTCTTAAGGCAGTCCATAGTACACAAGAATGCCCTCAAATGCTCAGTTTGGTATCAAGTACTTTATACGTAACAATTATTTTTATATAATTTGGAAGCTAGTCTTCTAGATATAATGTAAAATTACACAGATGGAAGTTTCTAATAATATTTGCATTTTGTTTCAGAGCAAAGTAGAAGAGATGATTTGGAAGCATTGGGTCATATGTTTATGTATTTTCTCAGAGGAAGTCTTCCATGGCAAGGTTTAAAGGTAGTGGGTTTTGATATCTGCCTCTGTCCTGTTTTCAGATCATCGGCTTTTATTGACATGTTTGGGGATTTTTTGAATGTGTGTCTGTGAGCTGTGTAACTTCAGAAGCTTGTTTGTTCTTCTGTCACAGGCGGATACATTAAAGGAACGTTACCAGAAAATTGGAGACACTAAACGAGCAACTCCAATAGAAGTATTGTGTGAAAACTTCCCAGGTAATGTCTGCTATTACATAAAAATGTGTATTGGTTTATAAAGTGAAACTGGTAATTGCTGGAGTTTAAAAATACAGTATGGGTAATAGATCACAGTATCTCAGAATGGATCAGGTTGGAAGGGACCACAGGAGGTTATGTGGTCCAATCTCCTGCTCAAGCAGGGCCATCCCAGAGCACATGGCACAGGATTGTGTCCAGATAATTCTTGAGTATCTACAGTGAAGGAGATTCCAAAACTTCTCTGGGTGACCTGTTCCAGTACTCAGTCACCTGCACAGTAAAGGAGTTCTTCCTCATGTTTGAGTGAAACTTCCTGCGCATCAGTGTCTGCCCATTGCCTCTCCTGCTATTGCTGGGCACCACTGAGCTGAGCCTGGATTCATCCTATTGACAACCACCCCTTAGATATTTGTATATATTAATCAGGTCCCTCTCAGTTGCCTCTTTTCAAGGCTGAACAGGCCTTTCCTCATATGAAGATGCTCCAGTCCCATGATCAGCTTGGTAGCCCTTTGCTATACCCAGTCCAGGAGCTCCATGTCTCTCTTCTATTGAGGAATTCAGAGCTGGACATAGCCATTGAGTAGTGGGACAGGATCACCTCCCTTGACCACCTGCTCTTCATAATGCCCCCCAGGATTCCATCGGCCTTCTGGGCCCCCAGGGTGCACTGCTGGCTCTGAAGAGCTTGTTGTCCACCAAGACTCCCAGGTCCATCTCTGCAGAGCTGCTTCCCAGCAGGTTTGGCCTCCAGCTTGTGCTGCTGCACAGAATTATTCTTCCCCAGCTGCAGGACCTTGCATTTTCCTTTGCTGAATTTCAGAAGGTTCCTCTGTGCCCATCGCTCCAGACTGCTGAGGTCCTTCTGAAGGGCTGCACAGCCCTCTGGATTATTGGCTACTCCTCCCAGCTTTGTGTAGTCAGTGAAATTGCTGAGGAGGCCTCTGCCCCTTTGTCTGAATCATTGATGGATAAGTTGAACAATACTGGGCCCGGACAGAAGCATTGTCCTTTGAAGCAGCAGTAAGCTAATGCTGTTGTTCTTCAAATATAGATTCTTCTAAATGAAGCATTAAAAGAAATACTGTATGTGTGCTTACAGTAATCAGCTAGTCTGCACCTGCATCAGTATCTTCACACTGAAAATTTTGCAAGCCTTTTCAGCTGAAATCTGGTATCATATCCGTATTAATATTGATAAAAATCATACCCTATTAATACCCTATAAAAAACAAGCTGCATTAGAAACACCTTGAACTAATATTTAAAATTACTTGCAAGTTTCAGGTGTGACTTCTAGGTCTCTATAAGTACAAGGAGAATCAATGAGGTGTTGGAAAATGGGACAGAAGGAAATAGGATGTTTTTTAGAAGTTGTAATAAAGTGTTTGGAGCAGGGGACATGTATGGCATGGACATGATTTTGCCAAAATATAAGTGCACACCTTGAAAGCTAATCAAAATATCATTGATAGGCAAAGTGGATTTGCTGAGAGTAGCTCATGACAAATGAAAGGAAAGCGTGTCCACAGTACGCCTTGTGGACACAAGACTGATGCTTTATGTTGTATACCCCTTTCTTTACCTTTCCTTAGTCTTGTCTCTGTAAAATGGGTTGGAAAGAAAGAACAAAGTAGAGGCATTTCTCTCCACACATTTTTGCACACTGTGCATTAGAATTAGAACATTGAACAGAAGATCTCAACAGGTAACATGAAGGAAAAATTAGTAGGGTGTTACTTGCTATGATATGTTTGGAATATGGTAGTATATCTCAGAATATGGTAGCATTTCAAAGAATGCTATTAAATAGCTTTTCTTTCTGGTAATTCACAGATTCATGGTGAACAACTGTTCAGGTTTTATGGTGAGAGAGCAACAAGTTGCTTTAAAATGAAATAAGGTGGTGGGAATTTTTTTGAGTTCCATTAAAACAGATCATAGCATATGTATATATTTCTTATTTATCTAGAGGAAATGGCTACTTATCTACGTTATGTAAGAAGGTTAGATTTTTTTGAAAAGCCAGACTATGACTACTTAAGAAAGCTCTTCACAGACTTACTTGATCGGAAAGGCTATATGTTTGATTATGAATACGACTGGATTGGCAAACAGTTGGTGAGTACAGTTGTGCTGTCAGTACTATAATGGGTTTTTCTATGATCAGTTTTGAATTTCATAAGACGTGCTTTTCAAGGCTGCTGATAGAGCTGTGAACAGCTGCTATTACAAGTCCATCTGCTGATGCATGTTCTGACTTAATCTATGGCCTTGAGTGCTTCATATTCTCTTTCCAAATGTGCTCTTATTATCAAAGTATATCTCTGCTCAATCCAAAATGAGGTGGTGGAAATTCAGGTTGTTTTTTGAAGGAACTTAACATTTTGCAAGTAATTGTCATTACTGCATGTATTTTTTTTGTTCCCAGGATTTTTAAAATGCAGAGCTATATAGCTGCATATGCGGTATACTCAATGTATTTATCAGTTCACTATGATAAAATATTGCATAGTTCATTGAATATTTCGTCATGGTGCCTCTAAGGTTTCAGGAAACACTCTGTATAATTTAAGAAATAGTAGATGATGGAGTTTTCTTCAGCTGCTCAAATTGTTTCACTTCTTTTTATTATGTAGGGAAGGGACGGCTAATATGTATGTGTTTGACCAGTTTCAGATTATGCACTTCACTCTTCTCTGTGTGATTCTGAAAGAACTGTAGCATTTTTTTTATTGCTGAGTATATTTTTCAGTGTTTAGCATTAAAAAATTGCTTTAAGCTTTTGATCAGAATGTTGTAACTGCTAACTGCAGAAAGTATCAACCTAAAATCTTTCAGAAAATTAATGTATAATACTTAGAATTGCTACTTCAATACATTCTGTAAGTCATGGTTTGCTTTTTTTCTTGTTGGTATTAGTAAATATCTAGTGAAGCTTCTGCTTTAATCTGATAATTTTGTTTTACTTGAAACTGTCAGATTTAAATATTATTTTCTGTTACAAGCCAGTAACTTTTGATGAGACTTAGAAATTTATTTTTTTTACCAGTTGCTACATATTATTTATATTTGTAGCCTACTCCAGTGGGTTCAATACATTCAGACCCTGCAATGTCTTCAAACAGAGAAGCATATCAGCACAGAGACAGAATGCAACAATCCAAAAATCAGGTAAACTGCTCGTGTAAGATTATCAGCATTACTGTGTCTTTTGTGTAATGATTTGTGCTATGTTTTTGTTAAAACTTGAAAATAAAATTGACTGTAGGTGTCCTTTGCTTTCACTTTAAGTAGATCTTTGTTAAATCTACATATGTAGAGATACATAAGTATCTCCTAAAAGCTTACCCCTTTGAATCTATGGTATAGTGTAGTGAATCAGTAGTGAATTTTCTCTCTACTCACACTTCTTTATTTGCTGTCTCTCCTCCATTCTCTTTCCATTCTGACATGTATATATAATATTTTCACTTTTTTTTTAAACCAGGCTAATGACTTAGGTGGTAAAAATGTTAGGAATTCAGAGCTCTGTCAGTTTACCTAACCAAAATTGGAGGGTTGTTTTAGTGTGCTTTTTCTTACTAAGAATTTTGAGGTTTAGCTACTTCAGCTCTCTGTGAAAATTTTTATGAAGGCATGTGTAAGTATGTTGATAATGTTGGAGTGTAATCTATATAGAGATTGAGTGTGTAGTGCTTCTGTACTTCTTAAAAAATGACAATTAATGCACATATTGTTTGTTTTAAATTTTTTTTCTTCTTTTGCATAAATCCTAATACATTCAAAAATGATAGTCAACAGACCATCGGGCAGCTTGGGACTCACAGCAAACCAATCCACATCATTTGAGGGCTCACCTGCCCTCTGACAGACATGGTGGCTCTGTACAGGTATTTTCTGCTTCTTTGCATGACCTTTTGCATTACATGATACTACTTTCCTGTAAGGTATCACATGATTCATGTTTTCATCTTAAGATTGCTTATCAGTAATGCTTCTATTATTTATTATTTCACAGTTCAGTCGTCAAACTGAAAATAGGTGCTGAAACTATGGAACTTTTTGTTGATGGAATTTCTCTTGCATGTTTCTTAGTAAAAGTCAAACATAAAACAGTTGAACTGTTTTTTTTATAGAATATATACTCACCTCAGTGGAAGCAACTGAAGTTTAGACTTTAAATGTGTTAATTGTATTAGCATTCACTGAATTCAGTGTTGTTCAAGCCATGTTTTTGTTTCTTAAGTAAACATCAATTATAATTAAATAATTAAAATGCTACTTAGTGATGTTTGCTTAAACTTCACTCCATTATTCAAATAGTAATTGACTAGAGCAATGTTCCCAGGGCAGCACCTCAGACATCTCAGTGAAAAAAATGTGTAGAAACCAAAAATTTTTCCTATATTATTAATTTACTTCATCTTCAAAGAACTCTTTTCCTGGTTTGTTTTCAATTTCTAAAATTAATTTTTGAAATTTTTGGTGTCTCACTCTTTGAATATATTTAGGTGTGAAATAGTTGGAGTAATGTGTGAGGAACTAATACTGAGATATTCAAAATGCTAACTGTGAAGTCTACATGAGATTTTGAGCTTTGAGTCCAAAATGAAAATTATTTAGCTTTGTGATGTCTTACCTGGGTGGAAGTTGTGTTTGGAAATTGTCTGCTGTGTTTTTGATTATGACAATCTAAGTTACTTATGTTTCTTCTGAAGTTTCTGGTTTGGAGAAAGATTGTCATGACCTGAAGAAAGAATAAAAAGTTCAGGGTACAGAAAACAGAGCTGCAGTCCTGTCAGTGTGATAAAATTCTCTAAATTTTGTTGCTTTGGAAGCAGCTGTCATATGTAATGTTACAAAATCTAGTAGGTGATAATTGTTACGGTATGTAAAGAAAAATTTAAAATTGTTTTGTTCTTCCCAATAACAAATGTTTAAAAAAGCTTTATTTTCCCATATTTTAGGTTAGAAAAATACACATTGAATTTGTTAAATTACAGTTAGTAGACTTTTCAAAGTGTCATCATATGACTCTATTGGCAATTGTAAATAAAAGCTTCAGAAACCTTTTATTCTTTGTCAGGTAAAATGTAACAATTACAATAAATTTTCTTCCATTGTAAAATATGCTAAATACCCTTTGGGGATTGGGAGAACATTTTCTAGGAAATAACACAAGTAACGCTAGTACTCCTTACTGTTAATGTAGTGTTGTTTCTATCCTTTTTCCTCACTGGATACAGGCAGTCTGTCTGAGTTCAGATCATTTAGATCTGTTGAGGCTAAGCAATTGCCACATCAATAAAAGCACTGTGCAAAACTGCAGCCATGGTCTGTGTCTTTGAAGATCAAGTGTTGTGCAGCAGGATGTTTTCATATTGGATTGCTTTTTTTTGTGGAGTGGTCATGCTTCCTTATTAAGGGCACTTAGGAAATCACATAGTATCTCCAGTTATGCTGTGACATAGCCCCTGGCTGTTATCAAATACCTCTTTGTTGCAGGGATACTAACTGAATCATGCTATTTGCTAAATTGGTTCATTAGCTAGCTACTTTAGTAGGATTCCTAATTGCTTTCAAGTACACAAATACTAAAAGTCCCACAGAAAATTGTTCAAAGGTAAAGGTGAGTCTGAGGTGTGAAATTAAGTGTATTTATTTTTTTCTGTGATGTTAGTGAGCCATTGCTCATCTTTGAGATGAGTTTTATCGATTTTTCTACAATATATGAAAATCTGTCAGATTATTTCAAATTATATTGGAATGTTTTTAGGTCAGTGCTATTAGTCATCTGTAATACTACTGCTGATGTCTATCTCTTAGGTTCCTTTTTAGGTGATTATTAAAATGTGCTAGTGATTCCTTCCTGTGACATACTAACATCAAGGGAACTGAGTGTTGGTGTATATGTTTGTTAGCATACATTTGTATGCTCTTAGTGATAAGTTCAACTGGGAACCATTGAGGTTCAAGCTGGTTTGTTCATTAACAGATATTGTTCTGGTTTTTTGTACTAATTTAATTTTTCCCAGACCCTAGGCTTGTGTTCAAAAGATCCTAATGTCTAATTTTACTTTGTACAATCAGTTGAAGCTGAAATAGTTGTAAATTGAGTTGTAAATGGAAGACATCCCTTCTTCCACTTACCTCAGTCCATTTTTTTAGTTCATGCAGACTTATTAATGATCAACTCATACTCCCAGCAATTTGTTCAACAACTTTTGTGTCTTTGTTTTCATAAGTTAGTTTCACTTCTCAAAATGTTAATTGTATAACACTGAATTATTTCTTTCTCTGCATGAGCTGCAATCTGCTTGAGCACTCATGAAGATTGTATTAATCTGTTTCATTATGTTTTTTTTATCACTTACTAACTGATCTTCTTCCTCTTACCTTTTTCCTTTCTTTTTTCCCATTGGGAAATTATTTAAAAGGAGGTTAGATGGAAAGATTGGGTTAAAGAGTTCCCAGTAAAGTACTTAGGAACTGCTTGAAAGATTTTTATATTTGTTGTAAGTAGTTTTCAGTTGCCAGATTCCTCTCCTTCAAGAAGTCAAGATAGTAAAGTGTTAGATGAAACAAATCAGTTTTCCTAATCTTTTGTGAACTAGAAAGGTATTGTGATGACTTTTATTCTTTTGTCTTTACTGAAAACTTCATGGGGGTAAAATAAAGAATTGCGTAGTATCACTAATGAATTCCTTAAAGATGTAGACTGGCTTTATTTTTTGAGTGGAGAATCCAGTTACTGAGATTCTTAATGGAATTAGAGGTTTTTTTTCTATGTCTGTTCCAAATTTTTGCAATTCCTTGTTGTGATTAGAATAATGAAAATCAGCAAAATTTGTTTTTTATGGCAGACTTTCTAACTGATTTTTGAACATAGCAAGTAAAAGATCAGTTTGTTTGCTAATCCAGAACAAAGTATAGAGGCTGAAGATTTAATGTCACCATTTAGGGATTTGGTACTTAGGCTCTACTGTGTCTTGATATAAATGACCTTAGTCAAGCTTCCAGAGGACCATGTATCTAAAAAATCAGTCTATTTAACGACGAATGTGTCATTAGTGGGTAGTGGGTGGAATTTCCGTTCCTCTACCTCATGACATAGAGAGTATCAAGAAATAACTGGTGATGCATATGCTTCTTTATATAGGTGCTCTTCATATTAAACTTTTAAAGAACTGATTAAATTTGAAGGGACTAAATTTAAACCAGGATGGAGTTATCAAAATGCTTAAAGTAGTTTTAGGTTTTCAGTTTGGTTATTCTCCCACTTGAAAATAGGTGAGTAGCTTAAGTTAATCTTCAATATTGCAATTCTTCTAATTTGAAACTTTTAAAATATTTGTTTTTTGAAATGTAATTATGTTACTATTCAGGAAAGAATATACATTTTGTAACAGAATTTTTAGATGCAAGACCATAACTTAAATATCCTAATTTTTTCACTATAGTTGTATTCAAGTCTTCTAAGAGATTAATTGTGCCTCCCATTTTTTCATCAGGCTGTTGATTTCATCAAGGGAAATCCATTCCAACTTGAGTCACAAGTAGAGAAATTAAATTAAAAGTTTCTCTTAAAGCCAACTTCGTTTCATGTAGCTTCTCTCTCCTAAAGTTATAGTTTTTTATGTGGATCTACTGTGATGAGTTTTCATTGTGCCTTACTTGTGGTACATTCTGGCTACAGAATTTGGTGTACTACTCCTTCAGTGCATATGATGTTCTGCGGGTGACTTATTCTTGCTCAATTCTGTTATGTTCCCATATCTTTCTGCCTGTGTTGTGCAGATTTTTGAGACGATTGGCTCATAGTTGGAGAGAAAAATGTAATGATTTGCCTTATTAAAGGCTGTTTTAGGTCATATTGCAGAGTACTTTACTGATATAATGTGAAATTAAATAATACAGCTGTAGCCTTACTGACAGTGGAATTGAAGCAGTCCTGCCTATCTCTTGTACTCCTTTGTATGAGTCTTTGTTAGTTTAATTTTCTTCATCTTAGTGAGGAGCTCCTGGAGCTGCTTTTGGCAGTAGTGGATTTGAGTGAAACTCAGGGCATTTGTGGTTCTGGAGAAGCATGGCTGATTCTGGTTTTTGGATTTATGCTACATATGCTTTGGTTCACTTATGATTTCAGTGGTTGTAACTCTTTCCAGAAAGAAAAACTTGATGTTCCTACTATCTAAACTAAGTCGTGCAACAGACACTTCACATTATTTGTTTGTGTATTTGGTGAATGTGTATGGCTGAGTTTGAAGTTAGTTTGAAGAATAAGCTGCAATAAACTTTGTTCTTTGTTCCCAGATAATAGTGCATTGACTCCAGCAGAGGGTGATTTTGGCTCCTTTAAAGAGGAAGTCAGCTTAGTTTAGTACAGCACATACATAATGCTTTCAATATTACTAATGTAGGAAGGACTTTTAGATACCTACTATCATATTTTCCAATTCAAATGAAGATGTGTATGTAGTTAAGTTTGATCTCTTTTTGAATGTGCTGTCCAAGAAGATAGATATCATTGAACAGGTGCTCCTGGGAAAAAAGTGTGAGGGAGAGTGTCATATGAACACCCCACAGATGCTACAGTTGGCCAGTATGTTTGATATCTGTGTAAAAGTCATACATTTCTTCATTTGTTTTTTAGGAAAAGAGAACAGGAGTTCTTGCAAGTGCCTCTGCAGACCTGTTCTTTACAGCAGTCAGGAATGCTAAGTTGTACTGTGTTTGCTTCCCGTCCAGAAAGGGCCATATACCTGTCTTGCTATTTCTTGATGTACCCTACTTCTATTTGAGTAAGCTGAAGGCTTCTGTTTCTCATCAGCCACTCTTACTCAATCTTGAGCATGGATCTGAGGTTCTTTATAGAAAGGTTCTTTTAAAACCTAGGTTATGGAGCAGAAATCCTGCATTATTAGGGCTGCAGGCAAGGTTGACTACAATATTAGTTGGGTGGCATTGCTGTATATGGATTAGTGCAGGCTATGGTTGTGGTTAGTTATGTAGTTAGGCACAGGGAGCTCCATGTGAGCATGACCCCACCAGTGATCCCTTCCAACCATTCTGTGCTTCCTTTGGAACCAAACTCATTTGGTGGTCAAGTTGAGCAAAGTTTTTTTTTTTACCCTTACATTTTTATGACTGCTCCTGTCTTAGTTAGCAAATACTTCTGATGCACTTTTCTACTCTGGGTATTTTACAAGAAGCAATGAAATGATCTTCACAGTAAGATACTGGTGAGGTGGTTGGGATAATACTATATCCCCGTTCTTAGTAAATATATAATGATGACAACTCAGAATATTCTGTGACTCTGTAAAACCCAGTAACTAGTAACCCAGGATGTTTGGTTCAGGATGCCTGCCTCACCATCTGAAGGTTTGTTAAAGTATGATTCCTACCTATTTCTGCCACTGAATGTGAAGTGCTTCTGTCATGGTCAGTGATACAAAACTAAGCTTAAGACATCTAGTTGAAACTCCATTGGCTTATCATTGCAGGAATAAAGTCCAGTCTCCCATGATTCCTTCAAGTTATATTGACTAAAATTTAAGTAGTTAGATTTCTGCAATCTCACATATCTTATTTTGTTATGAGCCTGTAGGGTTTTTTTGGCAGTGGTTCCTATTTTATTGAAATTTGAAAAAGGAGAAAACCTGGCCTGATGTCAGCAAAGGGCGTGGCAAATGCCTTGAGTGCACCAAACTTCTGATGGTGCTGTACTTAGTTAAAATGGGAATGACAAAACAAACCTCAATAGACGAGGCTCTTTAGCTCTGGTTATAAATAGATGAGATATAACTGCTATAATAAGAGGAGAGCTGGAAGGGTGAGGGAAATAATATTATGGTAGTGGTTTTCCTTCCCTCTACTTTCATCTACCTTAATCTCTGACCATCAGGCAACAACTGGTAATAATCTTGAATTACAGACTACTCTTAGTCTCTATAGCTGACTAATTGTTTACAGATGTTTTCTGCAAACTTATATATTATTTGTCCAGACTTATATTTTTGTGCTTGCTACCTTGCCAAGCAGTTGCTGCTATTTAATAGCTAGTAGACCTCTCCATGGTGTCAAGTAAACTCTTTAATGGGTCAATCAACACTGTCAGCAGCTCTGATCATGTAGAGACTTGTCTACAGCCAGTTAACCATCTTCCTTTTTTTATTTTGTGGGGTGGATAATGGAGAGGCCTCTGGAATGTGTCCACTTGTCATGCAGGAAAGCTGACAGGAACTGAGAGAGAGAATGTTGGGTTCCACTTGATTTAAAGTCTGAACAAATATTCCCAGAGAACCACAACTTTCAAAGTGACTTGAACAATTTGCATAGAAATTTCATGGTAAACTAATAGGAATGAAGATTAATTTAATCTTTATTAATTTTTTTTGGCAGTAAATGTTTTCGCGTCCTAAAAATCAGACACCATCTATACTGTTAGGTCTAGAAGACAGCCTTGGTTTTCCCTTTTTCTGTTGAATGTCCTTTGAGATACAGCTGAATCAGACCTTCATATTCACTTTGAATATAAAGAGCTAAACTAAGGAGCATAAATACACTGAAGGAGCAGAGACAGGGTTAGACCGACTGAATTGGTATTGGAAGAGTGCTTAGTGCCTTCCCTTAAGGCTCTGAAGAGATGTGGGGGAGATTAGCAAATGGCATCCACAGAGTTGCTTTGCTTCATCCACTCACTTTGAGTCCATTGTAGAGGTTAGTTCCACTAATACATATGAAAGGAAAATTACAGGAGCACAGGGATGCCAGAATAAAACCTGGAGAAGATACTGTTACTGGAATAAAAATAACTATGGAAATAACAAAAAATACAGTTTTTAACATGTATTGGAACCTTAGGAATTAACAAATATATGTCTGGCGCTAGTGTAATTTCAGGTCTTTCTTGTGATTTCAGGTAGTAAGCTCAACAAATGGAGAACTGAACACAGATGACCCAACTGCAGGCCGTTCAAATGCACCCATCACAGCTCCTGCAGAAGTAGAAGTAATGGATGAAACAAAGTATGTCCTTCTTTTTATATTCTTTGGATCTTTTGTGCTCAGCTGCTTCAATATTTTTTGATAAAATTTTTCAGAAAATGTCTGAACTGAATAGCCATTAGTGAGGAGCAAAACTACAGTGCTATACTTAATTTTGTCTTTAAGTTTCTAAATAGTAGAGTTCCTATAGCTTGTGCTTTTTTAGCCTAAGCCTTGAATGGCATGTCTTGCTATCCTGGCTAGAGAAGTGCATGCATTTTTGATGTTTCACTCATTTTGAAATACTTATTTTAAGATAGTGTTCTGACTACCAAAAGCTGTGTGTGGAAGATGTAAAATTCTTCCTCTGTATTGTATTCTGATTCTCTTTTTTACTTTACTCTCTTTCTGTATAGCTGCCAGAAAGTGTTGAACATGTGGTGAGTTATACAGCACAGGCAGGCAGAAACAGCCCCAGGAGCTTTGTCCTTTTTATTGGGTTTAAAACTAATTTCAGAAAACTTAAAAATAAAATATCTACTTAGAAATGACAAAATACATTTTAATTCTGTGAAACAAGTAACTGTTTTTACAAAAAGCCACCTTCAGGAGCTGTTCTGCCTGCTTCAAAGCCTGCTTGCTTTTAAGTTGAGTAGTTTGTGATGTACTTTATGTCAGCCTTTTTGATGGGTACTAGAATATGTTTTATTTTCTATTCTGTTTGAAAGGGGAAAGCATTCTTTTCAAATATTGTAGCATTCAGCTAGTGTATTAACATCTGGAAAATAACTTGCATGAATAAGTAATAATTGCTAGCAAATGTTTGAACTTTTCCAGTTATCTCTGTAAACAAACTATTTACCAAAGTATTAGTCTATGACAACTTTCTAACTAATCACTAAAATTGAACTTCAGAGTTCCTTAATTCTTAATTACATCCAGTGTAATGAAAGGGAAAAATATTAAGATCTGTTACCATGGGATGGACAACTAATATTTATGTATTTGAGTAGTAAACTTAGACTTGAAAAATAGTGCAGAAGAATATTCTTGATAGCTAAAGGTGGTATGAATTCCAACATGTTTCATTTTATAATTGTGCTTGAAATAGGATTTTACAAGGGTATGGATCTAGTTTATCATAAAATAGAGGCACACAGGTATGAAGGATACATTAGTAGCAGAACAATTCAGCGGCAGCAATTTTTCTAGGACCCATTTTCCTGACTTTAGAGAAGAGGGAAATTTCTCAAAGTGAAATTTTTTTTGAAGCAATTGTTCTGCAAGTTCTGGTTCTGGTAGGTAAGCTTTATTTGCATGTGTAATTAATAACCTGAATGGAGGTGTCTGTAGGGCCACATTTTTGCACTGGCTTTCTGTAAGCACTGAGAAGAACTAAACTCTTTGCTGCCATCTTTGTGGAGTACAGTATTATTTTAGTGTCAAAAATATATCAGTTCTCTGATATATATATATATATATTTTATTTTTGAAACAAAAACAAAACAAAACCAAAAAAAAAAAAAAAAAATCCAAAGGGGCAAGGATATTGATAGGCTGCCTGTAGATAAATTCCTTGTCCCCTCTCTTCGAATAAGCACAGTAATAATCTTCCTTATGCTCAGCTCATGTACACACAGAAAAAGATTAAATTTCTTGCACTTTGAGTAGTCCTTAGCACAATTAAACCCATTTTTGGTTCCCTATTTTACTTGATTATCTGCAAAAAGTTAAGAGAATTCTCAGGTGCCAAAATGCTCAGCTGCTTGACAAGTTCACTTTTTCTGATATGGACAAATATGCTATCCTTGATCTTTTTGGCCTACTCTTAACTGGTTTCGTAACAGACAAAATAATTACTCTCAGTGTCCTGCTGTTTAGATTGATTTTCCTGTTTTTTAAGTGTGTAACACTCAAATTAGTGTTTCAACACTGTCTGTTTAAGCTCAAGTTTCCTCAGTGACTAGAGGTTTTTCTGGGGGTAATTTTTTATATTTTGAAGTTGTTTTATATTTTAGCAGTTAATTAACGTACATGCACGCCCACTCACCCTCACCTCTCCAGCTTTGCTATCAAACATCAATGCATAGGTACACATATTTTTTCAGAAAGAGCACTTTAGAAGATTTTAATTTTACATTTTAACATCATAATTACCAGCCTAATATCAAAAGGGTTTGTGGTACATTCAGACATTTGTTTATAGATTTTACGCTGTGGAATAGGTTAAGGGAATAGGATTACTAGTAACCTTCATGTCTGTGACATGGATATTTTTTGTTCTAAGGAGACATTGTTTTCTCAAAAGACTCTAACTTTGTGCCTCTTTCATAAGCTTTTTTCTGCCTGAAAGTATGAACAAAGCTAACCTCTCTTGCTCATATCTTCTGTTTGTAACTTTTCCTCATACTCTGAAAAGACAAACTTAAGTCTTACTTAAAATGCTTCATTCTTCGTTCTAGATGTTTTCTTCGTTTTAGAAACTTAGCATGACTATATCTTCATTTAAAAGACTTTAAAAAGAGCGCCCCTCGTGTGGGATTGTCCCCATTATGTATGATTTTAACTGTGAACACAAGTGTAATTTAGGTGAATATTAGAGCTTCTGCTACCATTTCAGTGAAATCCTGTAAATCAGGAAGGATAAGTTTGGGGTTTTTTTCTTCTGTAAGGATTTTATTGTTTTGGGACATTTAACCAACGCTTAACCAAACAATTCATTGTTCAATAATTATCTACTCACATGCAGTATATATTCTAAATCTTATGCCGTGTCATTTTCATGGTGGGTGTGCAGCTAGCATGACTTAGCAGTGGGTGTTGTGTTTTGGGAATTTGTTGGGTTTGTTTTTTTGTTTGTGAGTGTTGGGGGTGGAGGAGGTTGTTGGTTTGATTATTTTTGTTGGTTTGGGTTTTTAGAGAAGTTTCTTTCTGCCCTATTTCAGTTATTACTTACTGAAGTTGTAAAGCAAGGAGAAAACTAACCTGATCACTGTGCTGCCCTGACACTTGGGGATCTACAGATCTATTTATAGTCTTATACAGGTGCTCTTTCTTTTATCACTGAGCAATTAACCTGTCTTTCTTGTTTATTAGTTAGCAGAACAGTTGCTTCTATGAAGCATGTGTGATTTGGATAACCAAAAGGCTGTACTGTGGGAAGGCAAGAGAAGGGCAAACAGGAAGTGATTATATGATCTGTCCTTTTTGCATCTTGCATCTTTTTTGCCACTTTAAACGCTTGTTACTAATACTGCACAAAAGTGCCTGCCACATGCTTGATGGCAAATATGAAAACACAGCTGTCTAAACACAAATGACAAATTAAGTTGCTTTAGACTTTTGGCCCAAGGCACTGTTCAACTGGAAGGAAGGGTATTTAAAAGGAAAAAAGATATGATAATGTCTTAAGGATAAGAAGTGTTCAAAACCATAACGCTGAGATTGCTACCTCAGATAATACCTCAGAGGACACTTTAGATTGTACAGGAAAAGTGCAGTGTTTTTTGCACTTTATAGATTACTGTTACACTGCCAACTCTAGAAATGCTACATAACTCCAGATGAAGGTTAGCAGTCATTAATACTTTATTTAAAAAAAATCCTTTCCTAGAAGTAGAATTTTTTAAAACTTACCTCTTCTGTATTTTGCATGCATATTGAATAGTATAATAAATTTGTGGCTTAATAGTCCTTAATAATGTACCTATCTATAGCTTTAAATATAGCTCTAAGCAATGTAATAGCTGTATTATGTGAGAGTGACAATAACACCCTCTAGTGACAGTATGCTTAAGAACAAGTCTACATTTCTGTTATGAATTATATTCATTGAGAGATTATGCACTGTGAATCTCTGATCCAGGGTTTTGTTTCTTTCACAAAACTTATTGTCAGTCAATAGAGCCTGTTCTATCATAATCCCATTTAAAGGTTTGTATATTTTAAAATTGCAATTTTTTGGCCTTGGAAGCCAATTTGAAGTCTAGCACTTCTAGACTTAAAAATTACAGTGTTTAAGTGTACTTCAGTTCAGATTTCCAAAACAGTCCTATGGTTTACAATTCATCATGGAATTTACATTCCTTTAGTCCTTTTTGGATATGTTATATATTATTAAGATATTTATTTTTCTACACCAAATAAATTTTTTCAGCATTTAGCAGTTTTTCCTTGAATTGAAATACAGTTGAATAGTTTTTGTAGTTAAAAAAACCAAAAAAAAAAGAACTATTAATAGAAATTATACTCACTATAGCAGTATTATACAAACTCCAGAAGACCAGAGGACTAAAATAGCAGTGCTTTATGTTGCTTAAAAATAGAACTCTTGAATTTGCCATTGCATGGTGCCCTTTTTCTCTGGTTGACAGGGAAGTAGCAGAAGGAATAAAAAACAGTATGAGAATTGCAACAAAGATAAGTTAAAATTTTCTAATAAGAAAAGCAAGAAAACCTAAAGTGTCCTTGAATTGCGAAGAGGATCCAAGTAGTCCTAAATGTTTAAGAAGTCTGACCTACTTGGGTTGTGATCCATGTAAGTGAAGTTTATTTAATGAGTGAAGAGTTTAAATTCTAGATAGCTGTTCTAGAATATAAATTAACTGTCTGCTGTACTTTCATCTTCCTACAGTTACTTATGTAACCTGGGTTCTGTATATGCTAATTTTATAAATCAAGACAGAGTTTTTCTGTCGGCTTTCCCTAAGGCATGCTGATCTTGAACAAGTATAAAAGTGATTTACCATCACAGTTAAGGGTAGGATTTCCTCATCTACAGGATCATAGGGTCATTCATATTGAAAGGGAGGAGCACTGCTTTGCTTTTATACATGGTATACACATATATAAAACACTTGGGGTGAAAAAGGAATTAAACTAAATTGGGGTTCATACATCTACAAGTAAATTAAAAGCTTAAGTGGTAATGAGTGTTAGTAGTTATAGGCAGATGCTAAAAAAAAGGGTTAGTAAATACGGGGGAATTTCAGTTACAGTCAGTGGCTCCTACCCTTCAAAATCAATTATATTTCTTCTTGAAGAAGTACTTTATATTTAGTAAATACAGTGTGATACTTCTGCTACCTGTAAAAATACTTATCTATGTAGTTTCCCCTACTGAATTTTAATTTTGGGCTTCCTCTTCATCAATAACCAATGTTTTTTTCTACTGAAAGTTATGTAACTCTCAGAGCAGTTCTGGTCTGCCTCTGCCCACTGCTACTTTTTCAGTGACTGAGCGACAGGGTGCCTTGGATATTTTGAGAAGGTAACTTCTGTCTCCCCTTACTTTGGATGTTGTTCTTGCCCCCTGTAGAACCTTATTTTTAGACCCTTATTCTCCCTGAAATTTAAATGCTTTTCCCATTTCCCAAACAAAATCATCTGAATTCCTTTTGAATTTTAGCGATATAAAATGTTTGGTGGACTTAAGGATTTACCAATCAAGGCTGTTGATGCAGAACATTTATATTTTCACTACTGCTGTACTTATAGTTTAAGACTCATCAGTGTATAGTCCTGCAAGTGAGAATTCAATAACCAAACCACAGAACTCCATGGGACAAGCTCTATTAGAGTAGATAGCTTGCAGTTTTGGTCACACACATTGTGAACACTTTAGTGTGAAGCTTTATTTTTAGAGGTGGTGTTCAGGACCTGGGAGTTGCTTAAAATAAGCCTAACAGTACAATTTAAATGTGTGTGTGTGTTATTTGTTGCTTTCCTCTTTAGTTTATTTTCAAAAGTACTTTCTGGACTTCTGCAGTCCTTCTGTATATTATCTATATCTAACTCCCTCCAACTCTTTTTCATTTTGTAGTGTTCTTTCAGGTATTTCCAAATTGTTTCTATTTGCTAAGTGAAATTCACAGTGTTTGTCAGTTAGTTTCATTCATATAGTATTCAATAAAGCCGAAGAGAGAATATCAGCGTTCTTTACATTTAAGCTGTGATTTTTTGCTGTAGTAGTTATTATCACAGCACTGGGTCAGAACATTGACTATGTTGTCCATTAGAATTTTCTTCTAAGATGTCTTGTGGAATAGCCTTGGAGAAAGTTTTTCTAAGTTCTGGTTGACAAAGGAAGCTCAAATTGTTTTCTTGTTTTAGCAACAATAGTGTCTTAAGTGCACAGTTTAGGTGACACAGTCATAAGCACAAGCTTCCATTTGGCATATTGCAAGTTAATATGAAAGAGTACTCAGGTAATGAATATTCTGTATTCTTAAAAATGCATTTTTAAGTCAGCCTATAATACCTGTGTTTTTGATACTCTCATCAATACTCCAAGCTTAGTAGCTAGTTGCGTTATAGCTTTAGTTTGATACTTCTTACCAAAAAAGGTGAAATGTGTCAAAAATATCTCTACTTCCGTTTCTTTCTCTAATAAATCAATTGCCTGCAATAGAGCTTTGATCAGTTCCTTGTGGTGCTGGCTGTATCTAAGCTACATACTTCAAGTGAGACATACAGTAAATAGTTCAGTTTTGTGGCTTCTTTTATATCATATGTAACTCATGTCACACTTGCAGGTGCTGCTGCTTATTCAAGCGGAGGAAAAGGAAAACCATCCAGCGCAACAAATGACTAGAACCAAACAGAGCACGGGAAAATGCTTATTTGTTCAACCGTTGTCTTGTGATCTTAAAAAAGTCCCAACAACAAAACCCAAAGCAAAAACCTCCATAATAAGCACATTTTCCGAGGACTTCCTGAGAAACAATATCATGCTTCTGTGCTATGATTTGGTTCTTCTGCATCCATCTTCTGTTTCTTTAATTCATCTGTTCTGAAAGCTTTAAGATATTGTCAAATAGAAGTGCTTCTTTGACCATCAACATATGGACCAATGAAATTATAGAAAATTAACAGTATCTTGAGCAAAACTGAACTTGAGAAGTATTTCTTCTTTCCTAGGAAGTAGTAGCAGTGTCTTAGATGAAGACGGATGTCATAAATCAATTATTTGAGTTTGTAGCAGTGTATCTAAAGCAGTTTTCTTCAAAAAGAAGAAGAAAAATACAGGTACACAACCATAATGGAAAATAATAAAATCTTAAGATTTATTTTGTGACACTTGCATTGTTCTTCTTTTGCCTCAGTATTACTGGGTAGTCAAATTGTTACTCCAGTCAAATTGACACTGACTAAAGATACCGGGGATGCTGGTTTAACTGCTGACAGTTGTCAAAATGCTGGTGCTACTAACAGAAAGTATTTCTAATATCCTTTCAGTTTGAAAACCTGCTTTTATTTTGCCTACAGTGAATATTGCAGTACAGTAAAAATTACAAGAGTATTTGTGCAAGCATACAAATGTTTATATAATTTTAAGTTGTACTTCTGGTAATGTTAACAAAATTGATTTACCTTCAAAAGAGCTCTACAGAGCAAATACTGAATCTGGTTAAAGCAGAATAAGTATGAAAGTTTGTATGTTCACTAAGATAGTTGATGATGGACAGCATCTTTAACTTGAAAATATATATGTGCCATGTAAAGTAAGAGGTGTACTATTTTGCTCTTTAATTTAGAAAATAAATGCAATGGGAGTGAGTTAGACTTCTGCCTTCACTGTGTACTAGCCCAGCGCATCCCAAATTTCTTGCCTTTTTTTTCCTGGAATTTTCTTGTCTTGCAGTGTAAGGTCACTAGTATCTTAGGATGGCAAGGATGTGTCAGATGCTTCTCTACAGTCCAATGAAGTGCTTGCAATATGAACAAACCAACAGTTCTGTAGGCAAGACAGCCCATTTTGTATTTTCTTCTTCAGAAAATATATGCTTCTTTTAAAGCCATAGTGACAGAGTTTTGGTTTTGTCATGTTTTAACTGCCAGTTATTGAAGAAGGGCTGTGGAAGATGGAAGTGACTAGACAGATTTATTGACTGAAACACAGATTATCTCGGTTTCTTTAGAATTCTTCTAGAGCTAAGTAGCACCTTTTTTTTTGTCCACAAATGTCTTTTGGCATACTTATTTATTTTTCATCTGCTTTGTGGTAGCATTTAAAATGTACATAAAAGCAAAGGTACACCTTTGAATTAATCATTGCATTTACAAGGATTTTAATTTTATTTTGTAATTTATTTTTCATTAAGAGCCAAAATTGTATTTTATTGTTTGGATTATGTGCTCATATGTATACTTTGATCTTTGTCATTATTACTGTTCATGCTCTTAAGTTTTTGTTTTAGAAAACCTGAACTTGGCCTACAAAAATACAGTGTAACAGGTCATAAGATTCCACTCAACCAGAGTGTGTTACTGATTATTTTAGACTCATAAAGTTATTTCTTTGTTTTTGTTTGAGCTGAGAAGTAGGTCACTTGACCATTCTCTTATGAAAACACATCCTTCTTTGTAGTACTTGACCAAATCTGTTGCTTGTACATGTGGTATGTGTATTTCTCACACACCTGGTGAGTTTTATTCTTGGAGATTTTTAATCTCTACAGTGTTTGTATCATCTGAACTCCCTAACAAGACAGTGTGAATATTATGGACTTAAAATGGTTGAATATATAAAAGCTGTTTACTTGCTGAAATGATTAGCAAGGCACTTGCTTTTCAGCAATTTAAGTGCTTGATTTTAATGTGGAAGAAGGTTTTCTTCTAGTAAAGCTGTTGGCTCTAATGTAGGTATCCCAATATTATTTGCATTTATATACTTTTTCTTCCTGTCTACAGTAATGAAGTAAACAATGGCTGGATGTCTAAAACTGAAATACAACCCTGCTTAAATGTAAGAAAAAAAATAAAGATAGTTTTTTAAAACTTGCGTTTTTCCCCCCTTTCCTACAGTCATAGATGAAATAATGTTTTAAGATGTGCTGAACAAGTGTAATTGCTTTGGATGGGAATGAATTTGGAAGCATGATTCTCATAATGCTATCTTGACTTACAGTTGTGTTTGCTTACTTAACAGATGTTACTGGTATGTGCTTTAATAGACCTGATAACAGCAACGGAGTGAGGAGACCTCAATGCACACATTTGAAATCTAGTAATGGATTAAAGTTTATGCTCTCTGTGCCACCTTAAAAAAGACCTGAAGAGGTCTAGGAAATGCGTGAAAAGGACATGTTTTGGGTTGCTCAAAGTCCCATCCAGCCTGACTTTGAGTGTTTCTAAGGATTGGGTATCCACAACTTCTTCGGGCAACTGGCTCCAGTTGCTTGTCTGACCACCTTCATGGAAAAAAAAAGGTCTTCCTAATATCCAGTCTAAATCAACCCTCTTTCAGTTTATTCTGTAATTTCTTGTTCTGTCACAGGCCTTGGTAAAAGTCTTCATGTTTTATGTAGCACGTTTTGAAAGCCCACAATTGGGTATTGCCAGAATCATCTTTTCTCCAGGCTGAAAAAAACTCAGTCTTTCCTTATAGGAGGGGTGTTCTCATCCTCTGTTGGTTTTTGTTGCCTTCTCTGGACATTCTCTTGACAGATTGCAAGTGTTTCTCTTGCTGGTGACCCCAGAGCTGGACATAGCACTGCAGTGGGCTCTCACAAGAGCAGAGCAGAGGGGCAGAATCTCCTCCCTCACCCTGCTGTCCACGCTGCTTTGGATGCAGTCTGCAATACGGTTGACTTTCTGGCTGGTGCATATTGCTGTGTCATGTCTAAGTTTTCATTCATCAGTATCCCCAGGTCCTTCTCTGGTCTCAAACCCTCCATGCACCAGTCTGTACTTAGAGTGGTGGTTGCCCTGGGCCAGTTGCAGGATGTTGAACTTGTCCTTGTTGTCCTTTAGAAAGTTTGCATGGGTGCACTCCAATAGCTTGTCAAAGTCCTAAAGTATGTAGAAGGTTGCTTTTGATAAAGGTGTATTCCTAGGTCTGTTGTTTGTAACAGATGGGTGAAGATTGGTGGCTGTCTAGGTTGCAGTTGATTGTGAAGATGTTAAGTTTAAGATACTTGGCTCTATGAAAAAAAAAAAAAAAAAAGAGCAGAGCTATAACCCAGGATTATGGAAGACAGGCTTTTGGCTTTCAAGGGTGTTTGGGTCCAGGCACCCCAGTGGACTTGTGTACAAAGAAAGGCTGCTGAGTGATGTGGTTGGAGGCTGTCTTGGGCACAGAGATCACAAAATGATAGAGCTTTTGGTTCTCAGAGAAGTGAAGACGCAGATCAGCAGAACTGCCATCTTGGACTTCTGG